ACGCACAATAGTCTTTTATACAATACATTTTTATATAGTCCCACCAACACTCAAAGAAGAACTGGAGAAAGAAGTAGAAGGAAAACAAGGCGAAACGGCATTATTTAGTATAAGTATAGAAGCTTATCCTGAACCAAGTTTTATATGGAAACAGTTGATATCTGATAGAATACCCTTTTGCTAAAACAGAGACAGTTTCTGAAAATAATTTTATATCCACATTAGAATTGATATTAGACCAATCGTCGTACAAAATATTATAAATGGTGAAACTAGAGCAAAAACCTGGGGAATTAAAATCATTGAAAAAGGTAAATCTGTTTAATATTCAAATATTCTATATCTACATGACTAAAAAATCTAAATTCTAAATTTAGATGATTGAATTGGGTTACATCTCATCTCATCTGTGATAATAAATTCTGTTTAGCTGAACCTGAGTATGAATGTTCAGCGTTCGAATTATTAATCATGGGATAAAAATCCATGCAAGCATGACAATTTCGTTAATCAAAATCTCGTCCAAAGTATGGCAAATTCAAGAGTAAAAGTATTATAGTAGTAGACTCCTACAAAGAGAAGTGCCATCAGGTACGAAAAGAGTAAGCTATGCTCCGCGCGCGACACCCGCTACACAATGGTAAAAATCATGAGAACAAGCTTTAGCATAGCGGATGAGCTGTGAAACGATTTTTGTTTAATATATTACGATAGCTTTATTACATTCTGACGCACAGTACTTCATTTTGGAATGTATTACTTATACTTGTTATGTTATAGAAGCACCAGTGGACCAAACTGTATATCGGGAAGGATTATGAACTGGTATTGGAACTGATATTGGTATCGGTATTGGTATTGGACTATCTGTTTTTATTGTATTTCTGATTTTATTAACAATATTCATTTATAGAAAATGTCGTTCAGGTATTGATCACTGTTTTTTATATAAGGGTTACACATGGATATAATCGGGGATGGGAATCTTAATACACATCCACTTGAAATTGTCTTTCTAAGTTGTTGTTCTCTTTGGGGTATTTCTTTTCATCTTAAAATAAGTACTGTACTTGAAAATTTATATCATTCCTTAATCTGTCAAAAAAAATATGAGATAAGAAGTCATAAAGGAAAGTATCCATTGAAACAATATAAGCTTAATGAATAAATATATACACTTACTTTGTAGAGAAGGGTCCAGAAGAAAGGTCAGCTGAACGTTTATTTTTTTATACACATTTCTTGAATCTTCATCCTTTTGCATTTGATTAGAATTGTAAAGTAATCCAGCAGTATAACGCTGTTTCTTAAAACAAAATACAATTCATCATTGAAATTATAATGTTAACAGATGCATGAAATATTTCTATTCTGATTTTCAAAAGGATAGAATTTTCAAACGAAACACGGACGCTCTATTTGGGGCATAAATATAATCCAATTAAAACAAGATGCAAAAAATTGGAAAAATGTTTTTATTTTTTAATGATTTCGAATTTCTAAAACTGCAGTGTGTTTGCAAATTGTTTGGGGATTACAAACAAAACATATGACGAAAATTAAACAGAATATAGCATCAATCATTTCAGATCTAATGATCGATTATTCGTCTTTCCAACGAGGCATCACCATATTTACATAATCTATAAATGTTGTCATTTGTTCTGTATTCATCCCATATCCATGCGGTTTTCATCATCAGAATGTACTCTTTGTTCTCTTCTACTAACATGTAATATGGTTGCTTTGATACAATAATTCAAATTTGGCACAGTTTTAAAAAAAAACATCAAATGCAACATTGTTTTTAAAATGTACTTTTCCCATTTGGTCGTGAAAAGACTAGATTATCTTGATCTTTCATGATAGGTGTGTCTCCAGGCAGGGTATGCTTACACTACTAGACACCTGATACCAATTTTCAGATTGAAAAACTTACTTATAATTTATATACTTCCTCATATGAAGTGTTCATTTTTGACCAACTGACAATTTTCCGATTATAATTATAAACTTTTTTATATACTATTTTTTTATTTGATACGCTAGATTTTTAATTTCCTTTTCATAAATGATCTGCTTAATAGCAACAGTGGTTAAAGGTTAAAAAATTCCTTAAGGTCCAATAGCTAAGATCTCGTTCCATGTTCAGAAACTGTTCACACTTCTAGTTTGATTATATATTTTAAACAAAAAACAGTTATCTTGAGTTACTGGTCGCCATTCTGTCTGATTTTAGCTTGCCTAAAAGTGTATGGTTAGTTGATTGTTGAGGGATCTATAAGCCTGATATATTGAAGACCTTATCCTTTTAGATGTAGAATAGAATATTTTTCTACTTTTCAGTTATGCAACGTTTTCAAGAAATCCAGAAGGTAAGTTTTGGAATATCTTATCATAGATTTATGCCGTAGCCAGACTTGATTGTTCGGAAGGGCAATAAATACATCAGGAGGGCTAATACTTATATCAAGTAGGTATTCTAATGATGAGAAAATATAATGGTTTCTCTCACGAGTCTCTAATTAACTCGTACTAGGCGATAATTCTTACAAATTTTCATCAGCCGCTACAGAACGGACGTTTTGTGTTTTTTCGTTTATCCAGTCTGTACAAACATGGGCATTTATGTTTTGGTTTAAATTCTTAATTATATGCATCATTGTATGGTTTTATAACAGCATGTACGCACATAAGCTTAAGGGAGCCGCGGTGGCTCTGTGAGTTAGACGCTTGCTCGCTAACCTGAAGGTCCAGGGTTCAATCCCGGCATAGGTCGAGATAATACCTTCAGATGTTTCAACCCGGTTTCCCCCTGTCAGTGATGCAGGTAAGAGGGGCTGACATGGAAAAAGCGTCTAGTCGTTCGGATGGGACAATAAACCGAGGCCCCGTGTGCTACAGGCTGTGCACGTTAAAGATCCCTCGACAGTTGGAAATCGAAAAAGAGCAGGCTAATGCCGCTGTCCTGGCAAAATTTCCCTCATGGCACCCTGCATGGCGATGCCCGTCTTCATTAGCCCACAAGGTGCAGAAGAGTAGGACTTAAAACTCCATTCATTTCATTTCATTCCATAAGCTTAAATGTTTTTTTTTGTATACATAAGTAATTGTAATTGATGCAGAACGTTTCGATATCTTTTACAAATTTCAAACTTTAAAGTTTAAAGGGGCATATTGGCCAACCGTTTGAACTTGAAGTCTCTGAAACGGGGATTTTCCTCAGCAAAGTTTATCAGAAATAGTGTTCGCGGTCTAAATTTGAGACCTCAAATTCATGTGTGTCCAAATTTTTGCTCGTTTTTAAGTGAAAATGACGACCGCCATTTCTTGAGACTGTCTTATATAGAACTTTTCAAATTCGCTATTTTGAAGAACAGTTTTAAGGACTGGGTTATAACACTTTTTTGCTTGATTGTATCCTTAACAATGCGAATGACATATATGAATTTATATAAAAACGACTTTATGTATATTTCTATTGTAAATATGCAAGATTGTGAGCATTAATGTTAGTTATTTCTTTCTTACAGAAAGAACATATGAAGATTTAAATACTCGCCCTCCCTGAAGTTCAATGATTTTGGAAGAGTTAGAAAATATGACAACAACAGTTAATCTTAATATAGTTTATCGGATACCGAACAATGTATTTTTCTAAAACTTTAATTTTTATGTATGATTTTGTAATAACATGTACATTAACTTGCATGGCTTTTTTTTAGGTATACATAACGTAATTGTAATTTATACAGAATGTTTCGATTTCTTATAGACAAATTATATAAACTTTTAAGGGACAGGTTCGTTATTCGTTTGACCATAGACTCTGAGACAGGAATTCTTTAACTTTAGAAATGTGAGCCCTCAAATGCCCCATCTAGCCCAGAATCATCTGCGTTTACGTAGAAAAGACATATGTAGAAATAGAAATTGAAATTCTTAGTTTGAGGTATTTATTACGGAATAATGAGATTTTCGTACATTTCTAGTACTTCTGAAGACTATTAACATATATTCAAGACCCAAATAAACCCCAAAAAATGGCGAATCTGCCCTTTAATATGATTTTAATGAGTAATATTAATGTCTTTAATATGATTTTAATGAGTAATATTAATGTCTTTAATATGATATTAATGAGTCTGTCACTTTGAATTTAAATAAATAAAAAAAAAACAATTATTAAAAGATTGTTTGGATATAATTGTATATGAAGAGCAGTACAGAGGTTATATAATTTACAATTCTTGTTCAATAGTTTAAAAATATCAATATACCAAACTAACACAAAAGAAAATTAGTACACCCCGACAACAATGATGGAGTCTCAGTTTTACAAGGACAGATAACAGAAGAATCGTAAAATAAATGATGATACAAGCACCAAACAAATTTATACAAATTTTCCCAATTGGTCAAATGAATTTTTTTAGTATGTTAATTCGTTGTAGGGGTGTACTGTATCGGTAGAACCCTCAATTAAGCAGTCAGCTGATCTGCCTCTCAACTTCAACAGGCTTATAAACATAGCGATACACACATAAATAATGCAAATCAGGCAACAGTAAGATGTGAGCAACCATCGTATGGAGTCGCTATCTTGGATTGGGAAGATTTTATAAGTACATCTTGGAGAACAGTTTTAGTGCACGATTCCTATGAAAATACTATTTCAGTTCTTCTACAATTTCCTATTAATTTAAATACAAAAACATATCTGAAAAATGTCAATGTTTTTCAAAAAGGTTGTACAAGGAAAATTAAGACCAACCCTTTTCATTTGCAGGTCAATTATAATATCACTTACATACTATCAAACTGAAGCAGCAAATTTTCTTTTTCCATGTAACAATTATAACAATAATTATACATACAACAAGAAATACGCATATTACTATACCCGCTATTTCACCACCAGATAATCCATCAGCGTCACCTTAAACAGAAATAATGAGAGTCACAAGCATACGACCGCCTTTCACCAGGGAAATTCTGGAGTCTCTAGAAATGGTGGTATCCAAAACAACAAAAATCCAATCAGGATTCACCCAAACGATATAAGGAATTGAATAATTTAAATCTTTTAATTTTTCTTTTAGCAATTTTGGTGTTGATTGTCTGCCCTTTACTGTCAGTTTTTACTGAGCCGCCAACTTCAAAACATGCAAAGTTGAATTGCATTGTTACTAACAGGAGTTAATATCTTTTTCTCCTTTCCGAACTCGCCTCAACAACCCGAAAACATAGCTGTTTACAGTTAGAAATAACAACAAATATATCAACGCACTTAAATACTGAAGTACAATACAATTTTTATAGATGTAAAATAGAATATGATTCCATATCACCCCACAGTAGAAAGACATTATATTTTGAACCGTTATGAACAGATTCTTCTTTTCAAAATTCATCATTTGGACTATTCACATAATATCCAGATATAAAATTTTACAATACCAATTTTACAGTATGGTTTTGGTAGAGAAAGGAAGGCATCATCTACACAATACAGTTTTCTACCAATATCATCTGATGTTACTTTCAGTATAGTGAAATATAATGATTCATTGTGTGGTGATTGAACACTGTATAATAAACTGTCCCGTGGAGCACATACTTTAGTTGTAAAACATTGTATTATACTGTTGCTTTCACCCTCCAAAAACACATTTAAACCATTGGTAACAGCTGGAATATTAGTACATTCCATACGGTATGGTTGTCCAACAACAGCACCAGGTCCACAGTTCACACCAATTTCTACAATACGTCACACAGCATTGTTTAATCTCAATTACATCTGAAACTTAAACTGAGGTCATGAAAATTAAGCACAACCAAAATAAATACCTATAAAAAAATCAGAAAATTGAAGTGAAACGTTTACCGTTTATTGCTTATATTTACGTTTACAAGACATTCTAATTTTGATACAAAGATTTCAGTATGAATATAAGTATGGCCTATTTCTTTACCTTTCAACGTTTGGGACTACCGACATGATTGTTTACATTGGAGACCGCCTATTTGTTACAATGACTTAAAGAATAACGACGTGATTGATTAAAATTACTACGCCTAATGTTTTGATGATAAGGCAATGGCATTTATTTATGAAACTTTCTTTATATCTACATGTATCACTAAATGTATTATAATAAACTTAATGATGGGTTGGTTTTATGCTTTCGATAAGCATAAATTTGGTTTCAATATACTTGACACCAAAAGTTTAGCCCTCGCTAAAATCGGTATTGAATCCCAACTAAGTAAGCATATAAATTGCAATCATTTATAGCCTTCACTGATGGAGATGCATCTAAAACCTAATTATATTTACATTACCTCCACAAACATTTGGTAAGGTGACAACCATGTATATTACTGTAATACATCCATACACATAATTCATAGAAAATACCATACTTAATTCTTATTATTCTAAATGAAGAAAATCACAAATGAGATCTTATAAACGATATTAAACTTCCAATATAGAATCAGGAAGGAGATATTTGATATACGACCAACATGTAAAAACAATCGAAATCTGAAAAGTGTTTGAAGTTGGAGGAATATTGTATTGTCAGTTGTTTTCTTTCACATTTTCAATGATTTGCCACTGTTCGACCCACCATGTTTTGATTTTATTTTCACTGCAACAACTTCTTTGACCCATCCCTTTCAACATTCATTTTTAATTTTTACGTCAAACAAGTTCGCCAAGAGGTGTTTTCGACCACCCCATACCTGATTTAGAAAAAACCTCTATTGGTCGATATTTATAATGATTATAGCGTATTTGCGAATAAGACATGTCTTACCTTGTCGGACTCTTTATTATTATGCATGTCCTTTAAGTTTATTCAACCAAAAATGTTTACATATTTTACTTCCCTGTCAATGATATGACTAAAAATAAATACGATATCGCCTCAGTAAACTGGTTTTGTAGGATTAGGCTAGTGGTACATGGGTATTTAATATTTTCACAAAATTCTTCAACATAAGTACAAGAGACAAATTGTCTAGAGAATATTTTACTAGAAAAAATATTTGAAAACATTGATGCTCTTTCCATTTTAACCTACTGTAAGTTTTTAAGTATATCTAGACTTACATTATGAACATTAAAAGGCCCGACACGCCGGACAGCGACCATTTACGACGGCGATTGGAAATGTACTAGGTCGCGTTCAAACGCGAGGAAAACTAGAAAAACAATCGACTATCGACGAGTGATGCTACCATTTTGCGTTCTAACGTATTTGCAGCTTCTTTTTCACCCGTGTAGGGCGCTTTAATACCGCTCAAGGGGATGTTACAACGCTTGTCTGACGCCATTCTCGATCCCATGGCGTTCTCAGTGCGTTAAGAACAGATCGCCGAACCTTAGCGTTTTTTTAACTTGTCCAAAATAAACGGCATGACTCAGCGAATAGTGCCGACAATAGCGACGATTGAACGCTGTCTGGCATGTCCTGCCTGCTTATACTACGCTTATAGCGAGCTAATCACGTTTATCGCGCGCCACAAGGGCTTCTTTGTAACTAGATTAATATTGAGACTATACTTGACCTATATTTATTATGTGTTAAATTTTGTTGTAGAACCTCCTCCTCCCACTACAGGTAGGTAACTCTTAAGAAATCTTTTACAGTCTGCTAATTTAAGCCATACTGACATGCACGATTTCTGTTCACAAAAGGGTGCGGGGATGTGTGCGAGAACAGTACACAAACTCGGAGAAAACACGGTGTCAGAAGTCACTTTGAATTTCGAATTATAACATCACAAGTGTGAGAGTATTGTCTGCCATTAACAATAAACAGAACAAAACAGAAATAAGCATTGCAGTGACACATCAAATTCCATAGTACATCACTGTGTTTTTCGGTGTTTTTGTCGCCGACTGGAATTTTGATTAAAATCATACCTGTGCCAGCGCTTTCACAACAAAATGATCGCGTTTCCTACAGGATTTATAATATCGAACCATATTTGTCGCCTATCGTCTGCAAAACAGAGCGTCATTATTCAACTACATGTACATTCATTTTCCTTTCAATTACATGATCCGCGTGATTACCGACACAGTGGAAAATGAACGACTGGAGATTTTCTGTTTGTTCGTTGTTTCGAATTAACGACTGTAATCTGTCTTTCTATAAAGTTCTTGAGTTATTCTTTAGTAAGGATAGCAGGAGATGGTATATAATTTATTGGGATACAAGGTGTCCAAAAAGTTTGAAACCGAGACATTAGTGTTTCTCAGGGGAACCCTCTCTGACGTGATTACCATCCAGTCTTTGCTGAAAGACAGTATGTATCTAGGTTATGTTAAACAATAAAATATTGCACGATATAAAGGTACAGGGGTCTAGATTCCAGTGTTTCTCGGGAGCACCCTCTCTGAAGTGATAACCATCTAGGCTTTTTTAAAATACAGTATGTATTTAGGTCATATTAAACAATAATATATAGCATGATATAAAAGTATTGGGTTCAGGCGGTTCACAAAATGGTAACCGAGATTCCAGTGGTTCTCAGGAGAACCCTCTCTGATGTGATTACGATCAAAACATTTGTAACCAAGATTCCAGTGTTTCTCATGAGAGCCTTCTCTGAAGTGATTACCATCTAAACATTGCTAAAATACAGTAGTATGTATCTAGGTCTCGTTGAACAATACTATATTGCATGATAGTATTGGGGTTCAGGCGGTCCAAAAAATGGTAAACAGTGTTTCTCAAGAAAACCCCATTCTGGTGTGATACCATCTAGTGTATTTATTTAGGTCATATAAACAATAATATAATAGAATGCATAGGTGTCTTTATGTTTTAAAGAGGAAGTAAATTAGAACTTTGTAATAAAATACTATACACTAGTAGACCAAATATATCACAGGAGAAGATCGTCTTGTTGAATATTATTCAATAACATGGAGTATAAATATATATTGATATTAATAGTTATAGTTTATTTACCAGTACTAATTACAGGTAAGAGATGTATTTACATTGTATTATTTCTCATATGATATACCCAAAAAAAAGTCTTTATGTAGAGTGAATTAACTTGACAATAATAGTAAATATTAGACTTCAACTTGCATATCATATAATTAATATAATGTTGCACTGTGAACTTCGACTTGACTTATCTTTATGATTGATATTTGACTGTTACCTGCAAAATATTTTCACGAAATAAAATCTTTATATAAATACTGGCCTTTGTTTGTGTTGTATATTTTGTAAATTCAATTTATATTGAGGGGTAGATTGTTTCATACTACAATGTTCATCATAATATAACGTTTGTACTTACATGAATGCAATGTTCGTTGGCTTACTGCAGTATTATATATAAGTTCGGTCTAAAACAGATTTATGTTGTCAATTGTATATCCCATTATCCCCTATTATTATATATTCATATTTAAATATTTATTTAACAATAACTAGAAGTTGTTTGATTATCATATTGTTTATATTACAGGTCAATATGCTATAAGAGGAGTTCCTGAAAGTTATGCAGAGTTAGATGAAAATTATAGATTACAATGTGATGTTACAGATTCACCTTCTAGTGTAGAGTTCCGTAAAAACAATATTGTTTTATGTAGAATATTCTCTGGAAGTTGTCGGAGTACTCCACCAATAGATAATAGATATAAATGTGGATGTATAAATAATAACAACAAACAACTATATCTCAATATAAGTAATATAAATATACAAGATGATA